CAGGAGGTGAGACTGGCACCAGGGATGGGGGAAAAGAGCAGAGAAAAGCTGAACTTACTTAAAATGCAAAGCCCCAAAACAAGTGCAGCCTCACCTGAGCAGGCCTCTGGGGCAGGGGATGCAGTTCCCGCTCTGCCAGAGCTCCGGGGCTCTAAGCAGTAACCAAACACCCATCTTGACCCCAGGGAGCTCCAGGGTGGCGATGAGGGGCAGAGACGAGGCAGGGGACAGCTCTGGCTTCCTGGGACACAGCCACGGCCACCCACAGCCCTGCCCAGCCATCTTCTCACCAGCAGAGACCTGCAAAGCCAGGGCCGGTGGGCAGTCTGACATTCCATCCCCCTGCCGACATCCCTCCCAGCACCACAGGCTCTTCAGGGTCATCACCACGGCGACTGCGAGGCAGGACAGGGCCGTGGAAGGAGGGGGTGGCCGGGGGGCTTGCATTTGGTGCTCCTCTACCTCACTGCCAGGGGCCTCAGCCCAGGCGCCTGCGGTGAGGCAGGACTCGGAGCCGAGCAGCATGGTGAAGTTTGGACTTGCTACTGCAGATCAAGGTGGTACTGGAGCTGCCTGTTACCAGCACTGACAGGGCAGGAGAGCAGCCTCCCTCCAGCTGCCCCAGCTCACCTGTGGCCACAACAGCATTGTGGCTTTGCAAGAACCCACGAGAGGAGTTGAGTGTTCAAGCTTTAAAACTTTATTCAAGCACACAGCAGGTAACCCAGAAACAGAGTTTAACACCCCACACCAGTCCGATGCTAGCACCAAGCAAGGCATCCCAGCATCCCAGTAGTCACGGTTACGCTGCCTAGCCAGGAGACAGGCTGTGTCCTTCTCTGCTGGCTATAAAGCGCATGATGAAGTCTGACATCAAGATGCATGCAAACACTACAGTGAAGACTCCCAGACAGCAGCTCTTAAATGCCATCCAGGGAAGCGTCACTAGGGAACAGTAGCACAGACAGGGCTGTGCACGTACAGACACGTGCCTCAGAGACAGCAGGGTAGTCGCGGAAGAGCATGGAGTTGCACAAGCCTGGGCATCAGGCTTCTAGAGAGACGGATGAAAATCCAACCCCCCAAGTTGGTGAGCACTCAGCTCAGTAACTAGGCTGAGGGATCGTCCTTGCCCGTTCCTCGTGGAAGCCCAGGTCTCTGCTCCAGCTGAACAACGTTCTTTCCTTCAAGGACTACTGCTGGGGCTCTGGTCACTCGCTTGCTTTAGGCTTAAACACCAAATCAAACTGTTTGCAGAGTACAGGTACAGCTATTTTTTGGGAACAGGCAGCACAGTTCAGGACGTGTC